AAGCGTCTTGTATAATTAATTATATATAACACAAAGCATTATTATCGGATTCATTATTGTAAAGAATCCTGTAATCCTAAAGAAAATATTTATGTAAAATGGCATTAGTATTGATTTAAGAATTTTCTGTTTGCCAAATGTAAAGTTCATTTTTTCTTCTCCGTCTTCTTTCTTTAAAAATAAAATCAATAAAATATTTGTGCTACAAAAGGATTTTCTATGTGCATAAGCTGCTTTTAGCATTAGGCATGCATGAGTAAATTTTTAAGAAGCTTAAAAGTGTCGTATTTTGTAACACTCAGCTGCTGAATCATGTTTACAGTAAATATTTATTGCATTACATGGAGAGCGAAGGTTTTTTCAAGCTTGCCTGACTTTATATTTTCATAATGTAAATTCGGGCTTATCGGCTATCAGTTGCAGTTTCGGAAGAATACATTTTGAAATATTTCCTTGTGTTCTAAAGCTGATTTGAACGATTAAATGTAAGAAAACTCATCACTGCAGAGGAAAATAAATTTTTATTTCTTGTTGTACTTGAAACTGAGATAATGTTACTCAAGAATCATACATTTATAATCAAATCCTTCAGAATTATGCTGTATGAAACAAGAAAGCATCGTGGAAATAAAGTAGATCATCCGATATCTGTAAATTCTTAAATGATTTTTGAAAACCAGTTTTCGGAAGGAAAAGGGATCATAGCTCGTTGATTATGTGCCATAAAACACCATGATAATGCCTAGCATGAATACAAGCCAGTTTACTTTAGAAATTCGAACGCACGCAAGCAGTCAGCCTGCATGAGTGTTTTTGGTGGTTTTCTTATTGTAACATGAATACGAGCCAATTTTTCATAGGAAATCCTCCGCGAAGACATTCCTCCCCTTAGGCAGATTGTTGCGTGACATTTGTGAGTACGAACAGAATAAACCCCCCCCACACACACACACATACCAAACGGATTGTAAAATGGATTTAAAACTGATTCAGAAGAGATTTTTTCTTGACGTCCGTACGTACGTATGTATCTCGCATAACTCAAAAACGACTAGCCGTAGACCGTTGAAATATTGTATATAGGATTGCTATAACATGTTGCTGTACATTTCCCTTTTTTGTTGCAACCAACCGCACCAAACGCATATAAAAATACATGTGCATATATTGCCACTCTGTTACCTGTGTTGGTGAACTCAGTTTTTTTCCCCGTTATATACTGAAAAAATTATGCATTTTTTGCTTTAAAAGTGATTGAACTATGTTATTCTTATGCTCCGGTTAAGGTTTTTATGGCTTTAGTTAATCTGCGTGCAATAATTGTGTAATTATCAACAATTTAAAAGTTTTAAGTTTCGCTGCTAGTCAATTGGTGCACCAATTTCGGTGTCTTTTTACACATTGTGACCGAAAATTAACTTCCAACTTTGTACACCGAAAATTTTGTCTGGCCGAATTGCTTATTTTTTGCCCAAATTTTAAGTGTAAAAATTAATTTTTTAACTGTACAAAAAAGCCATGCAGTGTTCACATTATATATATATATATATATATATTAATGGAAAACAGCATCTGACATAACCAGGGCCATCGTGAAGCATATTACATTTGCTGTGGAAAGTGCTGCTGTAATTTCAGTTTCCAACGCTATTTTCTCTGCTTAATTGTAGCAAGTATGTTCTGTCTATTAAAATGCTGTTCATATTATTTATTAGGGATTCGTGCTAGTCTTCTTAAACTATTGGGCAAGATAATGCTACTAGCGTCCTTAAAGACACGAATGGGATCTAATAAAGTACAGACAGGAATCTCTGTAAAGATCTCTGTACGGACACGAATGGGATCTACTGAAGTCTTTAAGCCAAGTTTTCGACCTTTCCACATTAAAATCCATTTTTATAAAAATTGCTTTAATTTCTTTATATATTATGGTGGTGCTAAGGCAGACTCGCGTTTGATTTGTAAGAACTCACTCAGATTAGTTTTAAGACGCAAGGTTTATTTCTTTACCTCATTTATTGGATATTAAATATTAATTTGTAACCTCTAAATACTAGTAATTTCACTTTTTAGTAAACTGCAGATGGTTTGAATTTTGCAAGAATAGGCCTGTAACACAAGCATTTAGTGGTTTTTGCCACTCTGTAAATTACCTCACGCTTAAATACGTGATTTAAGCGTGAGGTTCCTTAAATAAATAAACGTTTCATTGTTTTTTTTGACAAACCATTATGAAAATATCCTTACCACAGCAAGCATCGCTCAAAATAATAAAATACATCATCCAGTTTTTCTACCTATGAAAGAAAAGACCAGTTAATTGTACATCATTTTTTTAAAATTTCCATTATTTAGCCGCTTTCGCGGCCAACATTATTAAAAAAAGAAACTAGTTATTATAAATATATATATATAATGATTTTAATGAAATTATTAAAAGACTAGGAAAAGTCATAGCTTACATGAAAGTTTCTTCCCTATGAAGGCCCTAATAATTTGTATTTCTTAGAAAGTCAAAACCCAAAAGAAGTACAAGTAAAATTAAACTACAAATACTTATACAATACTGAAAGTAATACAAAATAAAAAAATGAAATTTTAATCTCCTCAATTCAACGCTTCAAACAGAACTTGTCAAGGGAAAATTGTTTTGAAGCCTTAAACCAATTTGATAATGAGTTCTGAATACATGTTTTGTTCCTCTAAACGTATATACTTGGTAATAGAGGTTATTTGAATATGGCAAAGCCACGAGGAACATCTGCCTAATAGGAAGAATGCATTCGTGGAGTACTTTCTGATGGAAATGACTCATATGCAAATGGGGAAGACCACGACAACTAACCATACTGCCAAATCGCGCGCCTGTGTTACTTAAACCCCGTCGAACTATCAGTATTGGACAGTATTAACCACTCGGCACTCAGCCGCTGGTGGTAATTTTATAATGCAGATATATAATACTGTTCAACAATTTCTGTGAGTACTTAAAAAATGCTTCATATGCCTCAAATGTTTATTTCCATTTCAGCTGTTAAGTATCGAATCACATCACTATTTTTTTTGGTGTCAGGTTATTTGAATATGTTACAGCACATGAGGGCTGTTTGCCTAAGAGAAGGAATGCTTTTGGAGGAGGACTTTCTGTAAGGTAACTGTCTTAGAGTCACATTACACATGGAAAACCACGAAAAGAGTCACATTACACATGGAAAACCACGAAAAGCAATGATGCAGCCAGCGCTTTCGCCTCGTGTCGAATTACCAGTACTGAGGTCTTAACCATACGGCCAATTGCGTGGCGCTAGTAGATTATACTCTTCCCCTTTTTCACTTTTTAACAAAATAAAAATATTTGTAACTGCATTTATTTTAAGATGAAAGAGAAATGACAGCAGAGAAATTTAAATGCCTTCCCTTTATTTCTTTTTAAAATATTTTGCGTTCTACGTAGAAAAGAAACATGCCAATTTGATACTTAAATGAAAGCGAAAGTCAGCCATTGGTTAGCGTGAAACTTGTAGCAGTCATATATTCTAAATTAGAGAATGGATTCTACAAAGGCTGTTAATAAAGTCATTGGCAATGCAGATAAATATTTTATTGAACTTACGTGCAAAATTCCATAACAGGACTTAACTGGAATCACCACCTTCATTGAACCATTCCTCAATTAGAATCACCCTGCTCTTCTGTAGATCTGTAGAAGCTATGGAATGCTGTCAGCGTCGTGCTTACTATTATCATAGTGATGGAAACTCTACTGCGCAGAACGGCGAGAAAATATGCATGAAATTATTTACTTCTACGAATATCAGCTTCAAAATCAACATCTCGGCCGATCCACCGAATCTACAACTAAAAGCAGATCTCGCACTATCTCCACCTGTTCATCAAGAATAGACAAGCGACCTCTGTAGGCTAAATATGCTCACTTTCCGACTCGAACGAAATATTTTGACTAATTTGTAAGTACGGTTTGGCAATGAGATAAAACTTTTTGAGACGAGATACGTGGCCACAAGTACAAAACACGTGCCAATTATTTTGCGAAAGAAGATGGATAGGTTAGATTCGCGAGAGATAAGATCTAACTTTCCATGTTACTCCTAACTGTCAAAATTTCCCTAGCTGAAATCCTGGTACTTTGTCTGTCTAGACAGGTCAAGATCTTTCAGCAGGGTTCGAGGAGCGTGAAAGGGGGTCAGAAAGTATAATAACGCGATGTTGCACCAGGTTTTCAAATTACCTTTAGTGGCATTCTTATATACTTCTTGATATCTAGATTTTTTTTCTATGATCACTGTTCATGTTTTAGCAACAGTTTTAGAACCATACTTACTTTTCAATTCAACCAGCCACAGGAACAGCTTCCTTTGTGATGAATCTTTCGATTCCGCTCTGTTCATAGGACTCACTGGGGATGTTCTCAGGATGTACTGGGATATGACATCATTCAGGAAGCTGTGAATCGACGCTTGCTTTAGCCAAAGAATGTTTAAGACCAAGGAATTCTTCTTTCATTATGTTTGTCCTCAGAAATTCTTTGTCTCAGCAACACCGCTATTTACTTGCTAATTGCGTATATGAATGATATCCTTCTGGCAATGTTGCCTATGCTTCATTAACAAATTAGTCACAAATCCAATGTCAGTATAAACGTTAATTACGTTTATTTAAATTTGATCCGCTCTGGAAAATATTTCTTTGTTATACATCCATATACCTTTTTATCTGTTACATTTTAGTAACTTAATCAAATCACATTGTACAGACATTAGGTATTTTTGGAAGATGAAAAGGCAAGATGAAAAATTAGCAACGCCTTCACCGGGAATCGAACCGCGGACCTCTCAATTACGCGCTGAGTGTGCAGACTACTACACCACGAAGGCTCCCTAAGAAGGCTGGAGAAATACCTTATAATATCTATTGTTGTATATTTAACAATCTTTGTATTGTAACTTAAATAATGCAAATTAAAAAAATTCTCTTTGCAGATGGCATTGGTTATGATATTCATCGTGGCAGTCATTATTTATCGCGTCTTGATCTCCATCTTCCTGTTCCGTACGGACACTTTTCGAGGAGCTGCTTCTCTGATAGCAAGCTCTACTGGGGCGCTTGTCAATCTCTTGCTCATCATGGCCCTGGGACGAGTTTATGAGAAACTTGCTCTTAAACTGACGCAGTGGGGTAAGTTTTAAGTTTCTCCCTTGCTTCATTGTTAACTTACCGTAAATTAATTTCTTGGATGCGTTTTCTTATTGCAAATAAGCAATAATTTGCGTTGTTTGATAAAAATATAATGAGTCTTAACATGTGTTGGTAATTTCTTTCATTTTTCATGAGACGTGAATGCAGAAGTGTTTCATGCAGAAGTGTTTATAGGATATTCAGATGATACGTACGCTATGTCACAGCGATCATATGAAGAGGTTGTAAGGGATCTCTGAAAAAAGATAGAAATTTAAGTCCTTAAAACATCCCCGCATACTCTAATTTGGACATAGCGAGGACGTCCTGAAGATACACTGGGATGTATCATTGACTCTGGAGGATGTGTTTAAGATGTTAAGTAAACGTGCTAGGATGTTCTGAGGATGAGACAGACAGAACTGTAAATTCTAATAGCATAGCACACTCTGTCGATAGGACGCAATGGGGATGTTCTCAGGATGTACTGGGATATGACATCATTCAGGAAGATATGTTTAGGAGATTAAGATGATATTCGGGATATCTTGTGAATGTGACAGACTGTATTTTAAATAATAATAGCATCCCGTACTCTGTGCATGGGACCCAGAGAGGATGTTCTGATGTTATACTTGGTTGTGACATTAAGAATTCGTAAGGATATGTTTAGGGAGTTAAGAGGATATTCCTGAATGCCATGATGCTCTGATAGGTAGGATTTTAACTTCTAATGAGAATTTGCCCTCTATCGATGAGACCTAACGATGATGTCCCGAGGATTTCCTAAGATGGGACAATAAGCACTCGGAGGATGTATTTAAGAGTTTAAGGGGATATTTCGGGATATTTGAGATCGTAGAGGCCATGAGCAGCATGCCGAGGATATCTTGAGGAGATATCCATGATTCTTGATACTAAGCAACTTGGAATATATCTTTTCAAATATTATTTCAATTTTTTAAAAAAGAAATCTAGTGGAAAAATTATGTATACAAAGTCATGTTTTCAGTTTTGCTGATTTATACATATATACTATTAGTAGATATGCATACCAGGTAATAATGTTCCTAAAATGATAAGTTTCGTTTCATTCTTTTAAACGTCAGGAAAACTCAGACTGATGTTGTACACATGCAGTCTTAAAAAAGTATGGAAAGATACTTCCACTCCCATACGTGGAGGGAAGTCTAAAGGAACACAAAACACCTAAAATAATTCTGTTTCAGAAAAGATCAAGAGGCCATTAAAAAACATTAAGAAGATCTTGGAATTTTAGAAGAAGAAATTTTTTTAAAAAATCTGAAAGGTTTCAGGTTTTAAATTACGTCCAAAGAGGCGGGTTTTTTTTAGGGGGGGGTAACGTTTTTGTGTGTTATCTTTATTTGTTAAATATCATGTTCTTCGACTTGAACCATAAAATTCGGTTCAACGGCAGTATCGCAAAATAATTTTAAATTGAGCGTATCTTTAGAATTTCCGATACACAGTCTCAAGCGCTGGAGATAAAAATGTTTCCCCCTCCCCCGTAGAGTGTTCCCATTGCTCGCTTTTAAATAGTTGAGTTTGTTAATTAGAAATTCGTTAAAGTTTTACAAAATATGAAATAGATGGTAAAACAAATTCCAAATTCCAGATTTGGAATTCCAGATATCCATTTCCGGGTGGAAACGTACGTTGTTCAAAATAATTGGATGGCTCTATATACCGTTGTTTTATCACAGTGCCAGAAATATACATACATTTATGCAGATTCTTCAATATTTAATTTCTTTAAATATAACACAGGGCGGTAATATTTGGTGGCAAGAATTTGAAAAGTGAATCGGACATTTATAGTGAACCAACGCAAAATGCCAAAACGAAAATAATAATCCTTCAGGGCAAATTGCCCCTTTGAACTAAAAATAACAATAACAAGATTTTTGTTGAAAAATAATTTTTTCTAAATAAATGGTTCTTTAAGTGGATGAGTAAGCATTTATAGAGGTAAAAAAATCCTGCTATATTGACTTTTTATCCAACTGCTTGCCTACAGAATTGCAAAATTTTAAAAAATAACATGTAAAGCTCCAAAAATGAGATTTTAGGAACGTATATGCAGGAATTGTGAGTGTGCAACTTTAAATTAATAAAATACGATCGAATCAAGGCATAATGTATGTACAGAATTTATGAAGGAAGAAATACTAATAACCATCTAAAAAAGATTTTAGACAAAGGAAAAAAATGAAAGTACTGAAATTTTATTTAAAGTAATATGAAACAGGAAAATATTTGTAACAAAAAGCTCATACCGTTAAAATGTGGAAACATTAATATACATGAAACAAATAAATAATAAATTAAAAATGAATTCAAAATGTGAAAATTATAATAGCAATTCAGGTCATTGAAAATTAAAATATTTAAAAATTGAATTCTCGCAGAAGTAAAGCATTTTTAAAAGATAATAACTGGTAGTTATTTATTACATCAAATGTCATTAGATATCGATAATTTGGTTAATCTTTGGATTATGGTAACTTGGCGATTTTTTGGCGAACATTTGGCGACCAACCCTGCTACAGCAACCTGCTAGTTTTTTTCTTGGACGCCATTTTGTTTATACGAAGTTAAAGGCGTGCTTTTTTTTTTTTTTTTTTTTTTTTTTTTTTTTTTCTCAACATTTTTTTCCAACGATCTGCTAGCCGAATTACGCTTATGCTAGAACTTTTATAAAACAAAAGTGCTTAATCATGACGAAGATTAGGTGCGAAATTGGGAGAAAGTACAGAATCGCCCACTGCTTGCCGCGTTTTTAAAATTGCCCATACACGTCATCCATGTACACTCGACCTATTTTCACTTAAACAAAACAATCCCAGAATTGGCACAAAAATGGCATTGCGCACACTCTTGATTTATCCATGTACGCTGCTAAAGTCCTAGCTAGTAACCTTTATCGCCTTACCAAAATGTCGCCAAACTACCTGTTACCATATTCCAAAGATTATCCGATAATTTTTTGGACGTTTTGAAAAAAACTGGCCGTTTTCAGAAACCATGCGGAGAATACCTGTTCCGGAAAAAAAAAAAAAAAAAAAAATTAGCCTGCTATAATTGCACAATAATAAGAGTGCTGCCACCTATCGGAAACAAATCACAAATAAACTGTAGGTCTAAAATTTTTCCATTGTTATTTTAATGTAAAATCGTAGAAATAAATAATAAATAAATAAATAACTGCAATTATTGAATATAACTCTTTTCCTGAAAAATATAAAAGTAGGCGTGCGCATCATTTTATCTCATTAATCCTAATAAATAACTTTATGCTTGGAAGATATTTTGAGGCACCACAATGTCTAATTCAAGGGAACTGTTTTCATGTGATTTAGAAAGATATCAGCCAGGATGTCAAACTGCTTTTTACTGAATGGTTAGAAAATCCGTACAGTACAAAAACATGAAGATTACTTCTGCTTTCCTGTCTTGGTAAAAGTGAATGGAAGAAAAAATATAGTCTTCACAGTTTTCTAAGCATGCTGGTCTTTATTTATTTATTTATTTTTACGACATTTTGCCGTGTAAAGAGAGACATAAAGAAAAATTAATTTTATTACGCGTAAGGGATAAAATTAATTGCTGAAATGGATATGTAACATATTTTTTGACGTTAGATAGGAAATCCGTACAGTAGAAAACCATGAAGATTACTTATGCTTTCCTCTCTTGGTGAAAGTGAATAGAGAAAAAGTATTATCTTCACTGTTTTCTAGGCATGCTGGTCTTTATTTTTTTACGGCATTCTGCCTTGTAATAAGAAGATATAAGGAAAAATAAATTTCATTACGCGTAAGGGATAAAATTAATTCCTGAAATGGATATATGACTTACTTTTTGACGTTAGAACTGTTTGTATCCTGGTCATTGATATTTTTCCCGTGACATACTTCTGCTGAACTTTACTCATTACCCTCGTGTTACGAAATGCCCAGCTGCAGTAAGATAGCTTCTCCGTAAAGCGGGGTTAGTGTTGCCACATTTGGCGCGAAATCTCCTTTATGGCTACAAAATTGGCGATATGCCATAGGTGAAGCGAGAACATTCTAGAACGAATCCTTATCGTTTTTTCCGAGAATGTTCTCGAAGGCAGGTCAGAAGCTATACATATATATATATACCCTGCCAGTACGCGGAGTAGAAGAGTATCGAATGTATGTAGTAGTGTTTTGAGTTCAAAGATTAGCTAGATAGCGACCGAACCGAGTCGGGAGCTATATTTTAGTGATTGCCCGTGAAGCTGCATTCACTGTTAAAGCCTGAAGGCTGTGTTGCTCATTGTTTGAACGTGTTTGTCATAGTTTTTCGACGATTGTAAACTATTTCTGTAACTGTCCTAAGTAATACTCGCTAATAAATCGTGTTTTGATTCTTCATCAAGTGCTGTCATTAAGTACTCCACATCCACGAACCCGTAGAACGCAACAATATATATCCAAGCTGCCTGATAAATTGCTCGTGCTAGGTGTTGCCAACTAACATTCGATAAAATACTATTATTTATCTTTCAGATTATAAAAGATATCTTAAATAACAAACATAATTATTTAAAATCAATATATGCATTTCTTGATAACGTTTATAGCATTAGTATAAAAAATAAAAGAAGTTTCAGAAACCAAATATGATGTATCTTTGCTACAAATATTGAACACTTTTCGAAATTTAAATGATAAATACGTAGTGGATTTGATAGTCATCTCTGAAAACTAGATTAAGTTTAAAATTAAATATGCTACATGTAAAGCTAAGAAATAATTACATTTTCTTCTTAAAGAATTCATATTTCTTTTATTTTATGCAATACAGAAGAGGAAAAAAACCAAATTAATTCATATCTTATTCATAAGTATGAATTCCTGTTTCCTACGAAGCTTAAGTCTAATTATAGAATTTAAAAAAATTTTCCCCCAACATAATTTCGAACCTTCATTCTTTTTTTAACCTTCGTTCTCCTTTCTTCTTTCCCAAAGGGGTATTAGTCTCGAAACGCGGTTTTGCGTTGTTTCTCTCCGTTCACTTTCATTCGAGTCTGTTGCCATTCGGAAAAACGTAAGATATTATTCTTTCATATTTACTCTGTCTGTTGTTTAACAAGCTAAAATATTTTGAAGCAATATATATGGTTCTTAAGAATATTAATTTTTTACATTTTATTCTGATTAACTTAAATATAAATGCATTTAATTTTATGATATATCCGATTAAAAACATTAAACATTTTTATAGAATTGCATTATATATTTTTCTCTTTTTAAATATGCAGAGGATATATAATGTTCCCATAATAGTGTGAATGCGTATTTGTCCAACATCCTAATGTTTCATGATTCATCTCCTCTATCACTAATCTCAACTGATAAACGTACTAAACTTTAAAAGATCCATTTTGGACGATCGTTAAAATTTGAAAATTTCTTCATCGATTTAAATGGTATAAAAAGTTTATACTTTTCGAAAAGCTATTCAGTTAATGTGCATGAGTATATGCCATGTAATTTGGCCCATAATAATTGGCTAGGTTACATTACACTTGTGTGCAAAAATTAAGGACGAAGTCGAAAAATTAGCATATCAGCTGAGCGAAGAGGCAGAGCGGACAGAAAGACCAGTCAGGAGATTAAGTAAGATGATGTACGGTAGCACATGCGCAGATATGCAGGTAGACGTAATGGGGGAGTGTCTGAGTAGTATAAAGCATGTTGTCGGTGTAAGAATCAGTATTTCTGGCAAAGAGATTGCACGCCGTACAGCAGTTAAAATCATACCGAGTTGCTGCCTCAGCGAGAAATGGCGAATAATCAATCTGTTAGACGACATCTGATGCTTTTAACCCGAGTCGAATCATTGGAAGTTGGAGGAAGGCCGCAGTGTGACAGTGTGGCTGCAGAGTTCGGAATTGCTCACAGCATCGTTTCATGACTTTGGAGACAATTTCAAACTACAGGAACAGCTATCGGGGGGTTAGTAGTGGTCGTCCACGAAGAACCACACCCGCAGATAACCGGGATATTGCCTTACAGGCCAGAAGAAACAGGCGGTAGACAGCGGGAGAAATCGCTAGACACACGACACAGGCGACTGGATGACCGATATCGCGTTTTACCGTGGCCAGAAGACTGCACGGTGGTGGTCTGTTTACACGACGCCCTGTACGGTGTGTACCTCTAACGCCTGCCAATAGGAGAAGGCGTTCTCTGTGGTGCCGGAAACACCGGAATTGGAGAGACAATCAATGGGGACGAGTACTCTTTACAGATGAGAGCAGATTCAGTAGTAGTAGTATAGATGAGTAGCGATTCTCATCGCATACTCATCTGGAGAGAGCGGGGAAGCCGCAATCATCCCTCGAACATCATTGAAAGAGACAGGTATGGAGGTGGTGGTGTTCTCGTTTGGGGAGGCATCATGCTTGGTAGTCGTACAGACCTTCACATCTTCGACGCAGGTTCAGTCAACGGGACCCGTTATTGTAACGAGATTCTTCTTCCATATGTGCGTCTTTTTAGAGGCGCTATGGGTCCGCAGTTCCTTTTCATGGACGACAGTGCACCATGTCATCGCACAGTAGCTGCCGAATAGCTCTTAGAGAGTGAGGATATTGAACGTATGGATTGGCCGGCACGATCTCCGGATCTCAATCCCATCGAGCATGTATGGGATTTTTTCTAGGCAGACGCTTGGCAGCTCGTACCTTACCACCAGTAACGATTCCGGAGCTTCGATTGGGCGCTGCAAGACGAATGGGCAGCAATGCCTCAACAACTCATTGACACTCTCATTCTCAGCATGGGCAGACGCTGTGAAACCCTGCCTAGCAGTCAGGGAAGATCATATCCCCTATTAAAGACGCCGATTTTTCTTGCTGGACACCCATCACAGGGATGTTTCGGTCTTCAGTCGCATTGCGCTCCATGCTACTTTTTTTCAATAAAGCTTCTTTTTATCCCCTCTGATTTCTCTTTTAGTAAGTGTTGCTTACATTACTCATGTCCGTACGTATTGGGAATCTTACGGTATTAAATGTGTTGATTTGGAAAGCTTTTGTACAAAGTTATATTGAAAAAACCGTCTCGTCCTTAATTTTTGCACACCAGAGTAGGTTATTTGAAGATGAAAGGTACGAAGGCTATTTGTCTTCTAAAATTTAAAGGAATTATAGAAAAAAGAAAAGAAAATCTGAAAGGTTATTTAAAATTTGAAAGGTTTTCAGATTTTAAATAACGGCCAAAAGGGCAATTTTTAACATTTTGTGTGTCACCTTTATTTATGAAATATCATGTTCTTCGCACTTAAACCATAAAATTCACTTCAACAGCATATCGCAAAATATTTTAATTGAGCATTTCTTAGAATTTCCGATACCTCTCAAGCGCTTTATAAATTTTTTCTGTACAACGTTGCCATTGCTCGCTTTGAAATCCTTGAGTTTGTTGATAAAAAATTCGTTAAAATTTTACAAAATATGAAATCGATAATAAAGCAAATTTCAAATTTGGGCTTTCAGATGCCCATTTTCGCGGCCGGATTAAGTCATTCAAAATTCGATGGCGCTATGTACCGTTGTTTTATCACAATGCGAGAAGCATACATACATTTATGTAGATCCTTCATTATTTAATTTATTTCAAATATAATGCACGGCGATAGTATTTGGTGGCAACTATTTGAAAAGTGAAGCGGACATTTAGAGTGATTCGATGCAAAATCACAAAACGGAAACAATAGTCCCTCAGGGACAAAGCCCCTTTGGATTAATAAAAATTATATATCTTGTTGTTATCTTGTTACAAAGAATAATTTTCTTTTTATTTCAACACACACACACACACACACACAAAAAAAAAAAAAAAAAGTGCTGAATTTTAAGGCCTTGGTGTAAATTTGATTTCATTTAAAATGCAGGATGATTTATAATGAAATAATCATTCTATAGTGAAATTTTTTTGAGAAATCAAAATCATTTTATTTTTCGATATTGTCAAGAAACAGAATTGTTAATTTTTATTTATACGAATAAACATACTGGTGCTCAATAATTAAAGTCGTCGCTAACGTTTAGTTGCAAAAGTTGGCAAACTATAAGAATTTATCGCATTTTCCATATTTCCAAATGCGGGTAGAATCGCCCGCGATACTAGAATTTGACCATTGGTCGTACAGATGTACTCTCACCGTACTAAAGATGCACCTGGACCCAAATTTTGATAGAAATGGAGATAGAAATGGATCAATGGAGAATGGATCCGATGGTCTTCTACCCCTGTTCTTCTACCACCAAACCATTCGAGAGGACTTTCGGCTCACCAGTAATTTATATGCCTGCATACCGGACAGACAATTACAAACATCCATGTCTTACCCGTGGTTCGAGCCCAACGATATGCCAGCTTAGGCGCTAAACCCATCAGTAGCATTGGATTTAGGTAACGTAAATGTACTACGTTCATCTAGAAAGTGAAGAATCCATAGGTTGAATTTGGGCGATAACATAATACTTTTCTGACATTTCGTGCTCCAAAAATTCTAAAAATCGAACTAAAATACGGTGGATAGTAATTCTCAGTTCTCACCACTTGTATTTGATCGACTGGGTCTCCTGCTTCTCTGTAGTCACATTTTAAGTTGAAAAGACTGAAGCATTGCCACATTTCCCTGTTGTCCTGTTATGGTGTAAGTTGGCACTTGTAAGACCTGGCGCTCGAATTTCGCGAAAGCAGAGTTGACTTGAGATTTTTGCTGGTTCTATAAACGTAATATGTCTAGAAACTGAATTGCTCATTTTGTCGCATGCAAGTTTCAAATGTATCCAAAGATTTATGCGGTAGCCGCTTTAATAAGCAAATATGAAAATATTCTATTTTGGCTGTATATTCGTTCGTGAAGTGAAATATGGGAAAAATAAAGGAAAAAATAAAACTCCATTACTTTTCGTCAGGATAGGTATGTGGTTGGCCTTCAAAACAATAAAAAAGGGAAGAAATATCAAGAAACCTCATTATTCGGATTTTTCGAATATTAGGCTAAGTTTCAGTTTTAGTTAACCCATATTTTTGGAGTTCAGTGACACATAATTAATACTTATATTTTTATTGTCAAGACAGTTTTACTTCTATCTTGCAATGATTAAGAGTTAATTGTGAAACAAATTTCTCTTTTGCAGAGATGCACAGAACACAGACGGACTTCGATGACAATTTAACATTCAAAGTATTCATATTTCAGTTCATAAATTTCTACTCATCTATTTTTTACATCGCTTTTTTCAAAGGAAGGTAAGTAATAAATATTGTAATAACTCTGCTTTGCTATACAATACTTACTCAGTATTTTTATAAGTAAATGTAATTTTTTATAAAAATTAGCTGTTTGTGTGGCCAACCGTCTAAAATACACTGGCTTCCAAACTTAAGCACGCTGTACAAATTAGCAGATTTCGTAAGTCAGTTTGAGTGGCTGAAAAATGACTGCGGAGGCACATGGCAGTATGCAAATATTGTAAGTTAAAATCATTCGCGATCATTTCTCTGAACATATGCTAATTAGGCATTTATAAGATGGGAACTTATAGCTGCCTAATTAGTAGCTCTGAAGGGTTTGAGGAGGTTCATTTAATTGCTGATACAAAATGTTTGTAACTTTCACAAGATAAGTTTTGACTTTATCCGTACTTCTGTGGCATAAAGAACGCGAATGACGCAAATGTTGAAAACTAGCGTGATGCATTGAAGTAGGACAGACAATTAAAGAAGTCGCTGTCAATTTTTGCCTTGATGATTCCGTAATTTCTCGAATGTGGAAACATTTACAAATTCATCAAAAAGTTGTGGGCTGAAGGCTGTGCCGCTGATTGTGTCAGCGTGTTTATCGGAGTTTACCGACGACTGTAAGCGTATCTTTCGAACTGGCCTGTGTACTGGCGAATAAATTTTGTTTTAATTCTTCGTCAAATGTTATCATCGATTACTCCAAATCCAAGAACCCGCAGAATGCAGCAATATAGATATTATCATATTTCATAAAACTTATAATTGCTTATTTTATTTAGCATTCTATTCTGTCCAGTATCTTGATAAGTTAAACTAAAACAGAAAATCAAACGCGTCTTTAATAAAATATTCATGCAAATGGTAGTTATAAATGAAAAAATATACAGCATTTTACCTATTAGTAAATGTTTTTAACATTTTTTAAATTACAAAACAAGTGAATTGATATGTTTTGTCTAACTGAATAGTTACCAAGATTCGTTCTTAATAAACGTCACCAAATGTTTGAAATTTTCTCTAATATTTAATTTACTTACGAATGAGAAAAACGTATTTCGAAAGATAGGACTATAGAGATATAAACAAGTAATGCTTCAAATTAATAATGAAACCGAAGCAGATCTTTTAAACTTTGAAGCGCAGAATAAAGTTTGAGCAAATTACAATAAAAGTTTCTTAAACAAATCAACAAATGAAATGAATAAGCTGTTAAAGCATAATCGTGAATCTAGCACTTGCGCGATAAAGATGAATTGGATTAGACTTATTTGCAGTGGATGATTTTGATTATATATAAGCTTACAAAGGCTAATGGGCTTAAAAAAAGAGATACCTTTCGTGAACGATTTTTTTTTTCAAGGAAGTTGGCTGGTATTCATATTACACTTAGGGAGAACAACATAAATGCCTAATCAGCCAATAAGTTTCCCGGCGTTTGAGCCCGCGTTTTAAATTACTTTGAATGTTTAGTAGTTTTATAGGTTCGGATAGGTATCGCAGTAGGTGCAATCAGCTGTCTGTGTGACTTGTGACTGTGAATAAATATTGTAATAACTCTGCTTTGCTATACAATACTTACTCAGTATTTTATAAGTAAATGTAATTTTTTATAAAAATTAGCTGTTTGTGTGGCCAACCGTCTAAAATACACTGGCTTCCAAACTTAAGCACGCTGTACAAATTAGCAGATTTCGTAAGTCAGTTTGAGTGGCTGAAAATGACTGCGGAGGCACATGGCAGTATGCAAATATTGTAAGTTAAAATATTGTAACAAATATTGTAAGTTAAGCACTGTAAGTTAAAATATTGTAACAAATATTGTAAGTTAAGCACTGTCATGAATGCTGGAACAGAGTTCCAGCATTCATGGCAGTGCTTTTATAAATTATAAGAAAAACAATGTATTACAATTACTGAGTGGAGATTCTACTCTATATAATTCTTCTAATGTTTAATTATTAATTTAAATTTTTTTTTTCATCGTGACAACATTACTTACTTATATTTAATTTCAAAAACCTCTCTGAAAGAATAAAAAGCGTTTGTTTAAATTTTACCGATTTTTAATCTGTAATAGTATTGAAAAAAGTTATATTTTAATATTTTTTTTTTCCCGCCCTCTCTCTTAGATTTGTTGGATATCCCGGTCACTACAGAAAAATGCTTGGACTACGAAATGAAGAGGTATGTCTGAAAACAATTTTAATACGTTAACGTTCTTTGAATTTTATAAAAACAGATTAATATATCTAGGAAAATATATTTATATTTTTTTCAGCTGCTTTGTAATGATATCATAAGAAGTACATTGAAGGATTAAGATATCTGTTCTGTTTGGCAATAAAAAGTATCAGATTAAAAATATAATATAAAAAAAAAAGGTGTGCCTTTTCTTCTCAAGGTGATGTCCACTTTCATTCTGTGGAAGTTGAGCCGAAAAGGAAAATGATAATCTTTTAGCCCCCCCCCTTCCGTAAAGGTGCAAACTATAAGTTATCGCATACACACAATTATCCATGAATGTTTGATTCCCTTACTTTGGTTGCGTATTTGTCGATAACTTGTTAAACTTGGCATATTAATGGACAGCACTTCTTTCCTTGGTAGAATAATCGAACAACGGTAAATTACAATTCATATGAATTTGGCAATGTTTAAAATAAATTATAATTTAAAATAAAAATGAAAGAAAAACGTCTTTAGTTTTGTTATTTTAAGCACGAAATTACCTAGCAAGGATGAAATAAAACTCATGGATTTGAGATTGATTAAAAGTAAACCGTAATTTAAACGTAAGTTGAAAACAAAAATCTTTCACGCAGACTCCCTTGAAACTGAAGTTTTGCATACCCTGGCTAATCGGTTCCCCCATTATCCCATGCTATTTGAAATCGGACTAACTGAAAAACTAAATGATTACAAAAAAATAACAGGTTCCAAAAAAATCTTATTAATTTTCCTGTTTTTCAACCAAAAAAAAAAAAAATAAAATAAAATAAATAAATAAATAAATTCAAATGTCTTTGTAATGAATAATTTTTTAAATGCATATTTATCGTAATTTATGTTTTATTGTTTAAAAATGTCAATATTGATATCTGCAGATGTTTCTTTGGACACTTCAGACATTTCCCTGCAGCAGCGAAATGTATCGTTTACAATGCGGTGAAATGTAAACCTACGTTTAGTTTTGGAATCCATTGTTATTACGTAACTTTGACAAAGTTTCAATCATTTCAGTAATTTTTTATAGTTGTTGAGGTTTTATGTTAGTATATCAGCTCAACAGCTACAAAAAATTACTCAGCTGTTGATAGTTATAACAACAGCTGTGGAACTATCAACGGCTATAAAAAATTACTCAGCTGTTGTCCAGAGACAGTTGTCAGAGTTCAAGGAAAAAGAAGCTTGAACATAGGTAAATATGTAAACGAAGAGGAACCCCAGAAAAACTAAAGTATGCATCGTAATATTCTCTTGTATGCTGCTGTTTTTTTTTTTTTTTTTTTTTTTTTTTTTTTAATGTTTGTTTGGCACTGTCGTTCTTCGTGAGTATGAGAATTCTGGATCCTGCGTGCAAGAACTCTCACTTTACGTCTCTGTAAGGCTAATTTATTAGTTCACCTGAGACTTATGCTGGATTCAACGTACTTTTTCTTTTTATTCACCTACACAGAGCCTGACACAATGGCACTGGTGAACACATTGTATGCTTCGTTAAATTCTTGACTGTTACTGTTGTTGCATATACTGCCTAGATGCTGAACGTATGGTGCTAAGACATCTCTGAATTTTCACATGTTAATATATTTGTTTTGTATCGATTCTTTGAGTTATTTTGATGGTTAAAATGTACAAGGAATTCTATAAAACGATCACCCCCAAAGAATGTTGGTCGCATTGAAATCTCCCGCTGTGATATTGTATTTGGTATTACGTATAAAGGTTCGCTCCAGCTCCGCTTGGAATGGTTTTTTAAGATGTTCGTTGATTGTGGCAAATATACACTGGTAAAGGCAAGATTTCCATTTATACCGTCCAGTTGTACTAATACGATAAATTCCCCTTAGAAGAGTAAGCGGGCCATTGTGAATAATAACCTCTAGATTGCTCATGTACTGAAAACTTTTCATTGCACTAAACCCAGAAAGTGTTAGAGCCTGAAGATCTTATATTGCTATAAAGTCTTTTATGGCTAATTTCTAACTGGTACGACATGACTACTTCCCATTCGGTAAGCTCTGTTCAATGTGTCTTATATCATTATGAAGTGTCATCTCATGCTTGGTTGCCCTGATTATCTTCCACAAAATACGTATAGAATATCATTGTTAAAAGGTTCACCAATCACCACTCCCTATTAAACTGATGAATTGTGGATACGTAAGCCTGCATGGATTGACATTCCACAAACAGAGCCATCTAAAATCTATCTCGACGACTAGCACGCCCTGTACAATCTGCTATAAATGTACAAAAATGTGCTATAAACAAAGTACGTGATATTGTGAAGTTTTAATCATTCATAATATGCATTGTATGTGCTAGTTCTTGGATAATTTGATGGGTTGGCCCCTGTTATGGCCTGATGGCTGAACTTTCACCCCTTTCAACAACAAGAACAACAGCATTGTATATGCTCATTTTCCAGCAAATATTTCAATTGCAACTCTTATCTTTGGTGTTATCATTTCTCTGAATTAACAATGTATATAACATACAATTTAATAGAAGTCACTTCCTATTACTATATGAATAAGGAACAGGATGTTTTCCAGTGCAAGAATTTTTTTTCCACTTTTTCATTTATTGTAGTGATTTATTGATTAATTCTTTTAGCTGCATGTTTTTATTCTCTTTTCTTTTGCAGTGTGGAAACAGCGGCTGCCTAATGGAATTAGCTCAACAGTTGGCAATCATCATGATTGGAAAGCAAATCATCAATAACGCACAAGAGATTATTCTTCCGTGAGTCCTAGAAAAGTTATGCATGATGAAAATTAATTATTAAACTTGAAACGAAGTATGAATAATTTCGATTATATTTCACGCTGGTATGATAGTTCACTGAAAAACTAAAATGTTTAATAAACTTAATCGGGGAATTAATTATGGAAATTAATTTCTCATATCTTTACTGTGCAATTTTAATTTTTTAAGCATTTTATGAATTAGCCAGAAACATGCTGTTATATACAGATGTGAGTGTATGTGTCATATGTGTGATTCGAACTCATATGCAAACATGGTATTCACATTATGTGATAACATCCAACACTGATACTAATAACTTGAAAAGAGTGACAAAACAGCTTGCAGTCTGAAAACTTTATGTTGCAGTGTAGCATCTGGAAAAAATTTCCAATTTTTTTTTAATTAAAAGTGGTAGAGAATAATGTTTAGTTTCTCTGCTTAGATAAAAGTAATATGTACTGTTGCGAATATATAAAACATATGGAATTAAATTAAAACTCAACTCGAAAAGAATTTCAATTATAAACACTTTGGCTTTGTTCCTGCATTTCTGGTTTGAATATAAAAAGGTATAAAGAGCAGAATATCAAAATCTTTATAAACTATATTACCATTCAAACAAAATTCAAGTAAGAAAGCTTATAGATGTAATCTGACTGCAGCTTGTAATCTGTATGCTATTGCAAAATATTTTCATAACATTTGATTTAATTTTTGATCCAGATAATAATGGATATAAGTAAAATTGGAAGCTTTAAGTCGATCTAAGGGTAAAAGATATTTTGTATATTGACCTTTATGGTATAAAATAGCGTGTATTGCAAAGTGTTGCTAAGAATTCCAGGGAAAATAATTTTCCAGGTGATTAACTTTGTTATGTAATATTAGATTAACGATAATAATTCCAATGCAGCATATTCTAATTTTGAAATTAATTATATTAATTCCAAAACATTTTTGAAAGCATTTTATTATATTTTGATTTCTGCTTAGTTTGGTAGAAAGTATTACGACCATTCCCTTTTTATTATATTTTTATTTCATTCTTTCATTTAAATTACTTATTTTCGGCTTATTTCGCAGACTGTTTTCGTTGCTTGAATAAGAGTGACCCGTTCTTGTTATCCTCCAAGAGTTTTACGATAAAGCTGAACTCCAGATTAAGTTGATATTTTCCCAACTTTCAATGTAACTATTCACTTTTATTTAAGTTTTAATTTTGTTATATAATATTTTTTAATTCTTTTAGTTTTTAATACCTTCCAGCAATTTTTCTGTCGAGTTTTACTATAATGCATGTGTACTCAAGGTTACTTAGACTACCAGGTTTGCTCTTCTCGACCAAGGTCAGCCAGCGTGGTGATGTTGACATCCTGCTCGAAAGCAACATGTCTTCCATTTCTGTGAGTAAAATAACGACACTAAGCAGCTAGATACGTCACTGTCTCGAGCGCCGAAAAGAGAAAGGTTTGACCTTGAAAGAGCACAATCTTGTCTGTCTTACTCATTTGTTTGACCTTCAAAGCAAGGTACATTTCTGCCACTTCTGTGAATAAATGACGTCACTGAACAGATAAATAATACACACTAGTGTCACATACCACTAGAGAAACGTTTTGTCTTGAAAGGGCGTCTGTCTACCAACCTTTCCTGTTACTACCTACCTGCAGTCATAAAAGATTCTTACCTACTCTTGCGGTGTCATAAAAGATTCTTGAGAAAAATTTGTTTCTTTTATATTGAATCTACTGGTTTTAAAGTTGCTGAAATCTGATAATTCTTGATATCTGCATTTTTCTGTTACAGAAAGCTCAAGGCATGGTTTCACAGAAAGCGAACAAAGTTGAATACGGCAGTGAAACTAGCAAGATGGGAGGAAGACTATCAGCTAATTGAAAATGAAGGACTTTTTCAAGAATACTTAGAAATGGGTAGGGCTTTCAAAAGTCATATATTATAATTTCTTTTGCATGAAAAGCATTGAGGCAGAGGAAATCTAGATCAGTCTCCTTGGAATCTAAAATAAATTCTTTGCCAATTTATGTAAATATTTCTATTTATTCTTATTTATTTATATTTTGCTATGAGTAGTGGAAATTCAGAGGCGGTGCAAGCGGAGGCGCAGCAGATAAGTAGGAATGTTTCGGGATTCTTGATTTAGTGGGAAAAGATGACGTCACACTTTGATAAGAGATTATCTTTCATTGATTTTCCGGAGGTTCTTTGTTAATCCATGTTTATACTTTATATTTTCCTTTGTATCCCAGCTATTTTACTAAGTAAATGATGGTCATTTTCTTGGTACCTTTAACTACGATTATTTTCGAATTTAATGATTAATTCAGAAGGCCTTAACTTTAGATGTAAATTTTTTTAAGACTTCCCTATATACTCAGAATTTTACCTTATTTCCTAAATCTTCTGTTCATAATACTAGATTTACTTTCCGTAATCTTAATTACATTACTCATTTTTAGTATTAAATTTATTCTACCTAGAAGTCCTTTTAATCAATACTTTTAACTTATCTGTTATATTTTAGAAGTGTAATTACAAAAACACGCGTTTTTTATGTGTTATTTTATTCAATGTTAGATGCAATTTTTTTTTTTTTTGCTCTTTTTAAAGTTAGCTATCTTCAACATACTCTGTATTTTAACTTATTTCATGCATTTTGATCATATAGATGACCTTTACTTTATTTTAGATGTTACATTTTTAGCTTGTTTTATACATTTTAACATTCATAATATTCAATGTACTCTAATTTTTAACCAATTTATATTTTCACACTACATACATGAATGTTATTGGATTGTTTTCATACATTTTAACCTTCATAATTTCCAATATAGTCTTAATTTTAACACAATTCCTATATTTTCAGATCATATACCTAACTTTTACTTAACTTTAGATGTAAATTTTAACTTCTTTTCTACTTTTTAATGTTTTTAGTTTCAAACATACTCTGAATTTTTAACTAATTTGCTAGATTTTCACACTATGTACATGACTTTCATTTAATTTTTAACTTTCTTACGTTTTAACCTTCGTAATTTCAAACATATCCTTAATTTTAGCTTAATTCCTCTATTTTCCTACCATATATATGAACTTTATTTAATTTTAGATGATATTTTTAACGTGTTTCATACATTTTAAACCTTCGTAATTTTTAAAGTACTCTAATTTTGAACTTCTTTATTGCATCTTCCTACTATGTACATGAACTTTAATTAATTTTAGATGTATTTTTTATACATTTCTGACACTTGTTTCTTTCTAGTTTCCAAAATACTCTAAATTTTAACTCTTTTTTATAATTTTCGATTGTAATCACGCTTTTGATTTTACTATTTCAGCTAAATTTACACGTTTCAATGTCTTAAATATAGAGACAGTTTTCAATTAAACATTTTATTTTAGAACCTTTAACTGTTATTCCAACCCAATTCGTTGAATAGCCTTACTTAGTCTATATTTTATAGTACTGTTTTAATTTGCCTACTGTACAATTTATCTTTCTCTAGTACTCTTACCATGACTGATTCTACTATTTTCCTTCTATATTAACTTCATTCGCATTTTCAAAATTTAACATTTCTTGCATATTCTGGTATTTTCTTACATCATTTATATCTGAATATATGTTTTTTAAACCCTTCAGTATTACCAATGTTCAGTTTTGAACCTCGATTGCTATTAAGCTAACTTGATAGGCTCCGAATTTTTAGAATGGATTCTCAGTTTTCATCTATAATTTTAGAACCATTTTCACTGATTCATGTACTCATACAAAATCCTTTCTTATTACTTTGAATGCTCAGTACCTTTTAATTCGGTATTTTTTGCTAATTCACTGCATTCATACCATCATTTTTACACTTTAAATGCCCCGACTATGCAAATTTTAAATTTATCACTTTTTTTCCTGCACCAAGTACGAGTATTTCTGCCTTCATGGACAACGTTCAAGTGAAATGACCGATTATTTACGTTACATGCACAAAGGAAATTCCTAAGATAAACATTTTCAGTATCAAATGAGAGATGAAGGACCATAGATTTTACCCATTGGTTATCATTTCAGCTCTTGAAATTATGTTTAATCGATATAATTTTATTTATAGTGCATAATGTTAACACATTTCTTCGAACCTAGTTCAATTCCAACTCAATTTCCCTGGACAATTGCATATATAGTCTATTTTTCTAATTTCTTATACTAGGATTTTCTTTCATGAGTGTCAGTTTTCATTAATTTATTTACCAATTTATTCTCTTATGAATGAAATCTTGTGAAACACTACCATACATTTACACAGCATGTATCATTACCAATATACTTATATTTACAGAACAAACCAAAGAAAGAAACAGTAAGAGACATTTTACCAAAATCTCCGCTATATTTTCGATTATTTTAACTTTCATCCATCACGAATACAGAAATTTATTCATAAATACTCATTACATCAATTAAATATTCCTTACTAATACCCATTTAATGAGGAACAACCCCTTTAGAATATAAAATTACATCCAAATAAGTGTTCCATTTTCCTATAATTGTAAATATAAATTTACATTACAGGAACTTTCTATGTATGTAATTTAATTAATGCTGTTAAATATTACCTTTTTCTAAGGCGAAAACTCCAAAGATCATTCAACTTTCCAACTCCAAAGACTATTCAAATCATTCATCTTCGCCTGCATTATTTCCCACAGTATCGAATATCTATCTTAGAACTTTTTTCTTAAGAACTAAATACGAAAGAAACATTGTCCACTGCAGAATATTTACTGTTTTACGAAAGAAACATTGTCCACTGTAGAATATTTACTGTTTTATGCAAAATGAAGATAGAACCTTTACCAAATTTAAGTTCTTTTACCCAGAATTCCAACAAATTTTAGAAAATGTGCTATAGAAAGCAACTTATTTACCTAAACATGAGTCTTAACAGATTTTTATCGGCTTCAGATTTACTATCAGTGGGAAAAACATAAAGTTAACTTCATCTAGCCTTGTCAGTATATACAAAAAGTCATGAATCATTTTGCAGTACAATTAACATTTTAATACTCATTAACTAATTTTAATTAACTTTCAATTAAGATTTTAAAAAGAAAACTATATTTATGCGACATATTATCAAATTATTCTTAAGCATTATTAAGATAAATGCAGTTAAATATCCACGTACACACGGGAAAATCCCATTCATTAGGAACAGTAAACCTTTACCAATACTAAAATGAAATGTAAAATCTTGCAATGCATTGGTAAAAAACCTGAGTAACATATCATTTCCTATAAGCAGTAAACGGTAAAAAAAAGAGTATTCTTATGAAGACTTAAGCAGTAAGAGTAATGTAAAGAGATATTCATTTAAAACATAATATGAAACAGTTGACAGCTAAATAAAGATACATTTCAATATAAATAAAACATTTTTTTTATTAAAATACATACTTACTAAAACAATTTTTTCTCACAAATTTTCTATTCTATCACGTAAAGTTGACAGTGAAATATTCTTTAAAACGTCACTGTCATAAATACAACAACATTATTTTACATAAAGCTTTTGAGCAAGTCTTTTAAAGTTCATTGACAATATAGCTTTGTCAATATTATTCATAGCTTTTTCCCGAGTCGTCTGCATTATACAGGGGTGGCGACAATGACTTGGATGATCGACAGCACATCCTTCACAGATAAATACCTCGTTGAGAGTGGTTAAGTATTTCCTCGTCAATAATATTGTTAAGTTTCTGCATACATTGCTCTCTAGTTAAATGTTCCAGCTGCTGGCATTTTGATCGCCGTTTTCTTATCTCATGCGGTAACACATTTTGAAATAGAGGCAGTTTGGATAGTCTGAGTTATTTCAACCGTATAAATCTAAAAGTATATCGGTCTGATATGATTCTAATTTAAAACAGTCTGCTACGAGACGGAAACCACCGCAGGAGTTTTTAAAAATTTGTTGAAGAACACACTGCGCGTTTGTACAAAATACCGCCAACTGATTATTGGCTATGAAAGATGTTCCTGAATATTTGAAATTAAAGTTTGGTAATTTGTTCATGAAATCATACCAAGTCGCAGGAGTCATACTCACATCCTCAAGAGAAGTTCCACAGTTGAAATTATTCGTTTCTGCAAAGTTTTGTATAAGAATTCGAACATTATTATTTCTACTTACAACAATGGAAAGACGAGACATCCGTTCTAATGAACAATAATTGATCACTTCATCATGATTTCGTGATGACTGGTAATGACGACTCAGCCAGTCGTCCTGGGGTATCTCAAGCACCTCATCTTCTAAACATGGTTTCTTACGCGGAAAAGTTCTTTTATTCATGCACGGTATAGGGATTGTGTTGTCATAATAACCAAAGTCCATTTCATCAGAAGAACGCTTCACTTGCGGAGATATAATTTTTCTAAACGTCAAACTTATTCGAATAGTTTTAACTTCGGGCTAGGATGGGATACCGTGTTTCCAGACTACATTAGTGGGGGGTTTGATCACTAAAAGCGATCCATGTTCCAGACTCAGAATGTGAGTCATATAATTCTCTCTTGTAAAATGCATCACTCGCGTCGCACCGTAACTCAGCGTGGGAATGCAGTAGGAAGGATCCAGGGAGCTTTCATCGTCTCTATGCGCGGATATCTTGGCATCTCCATCAGGGTATTTGTTGAGCAGAACGTAATTATATTTTTCGTGGGTGAGGGCTTCCACTTCACTTTTAATTTGGTGCAGCATAGGTCTCCAGGCCTGGGCGACCATCGATATTCCCGAAAAACTGTAGGGGAGTCCATCTTCATCCCCGAAAGCGCAACCGAAGTCGAGCTGGAATATATTGATAGCCGTAAATATTCAGTTTCACAGGTTGGAAAGGATACGTA